TAATGTCACTGGATAATGTTGCAGGATCCAATCTGGGCTGATTACTGGGACCAGAGGTATAGTCTTCCAAGCTTTTGAACTTGTACTGCAGACCATCTTTAGGCAACTTCTCTCTAGCAGAGTTGTGCTTCTCTGTGTGGTACCTTTAGTGCCTTTAGTACCTTTAGATGTTGATTGGGATGTACTGATGGCTCGTCAATGACTGAAAAGCCAGTCATCAACATACCCCAGTCAACATCTAAAAAGCCACATTCAACAGGCACTATAAATACCACACAGAACAGCACACACTCTGCTAGAGAGAAGTTCCTTGAAAATGGGTTCTAGTACAAGTCTGAAATCTCAGAAGACAAAACCCCCGGTCCTGGTAACCAACCCAGATTGTATCCTGTAGAAAAGACACTATATCAGGGTAGGCAACCTTGGCTCTTTTATGACTTGTGGACTTCAACTCCCAGAATTCCTGAGCCAGGATGCCTACCCCTGCACTATGTGAACCAGTGTCCTTTTGAAAGGCAACAACCATGCTTTGAGAGAAAATGGCTTTCCCTTGTCTTCCAGAGCTCTGAATTTGATGGAGACCACTGTCTCGCATCTTTTCACAAAGAGCAATTGCATGGAGCACTTGTGGGTGACACAAATCCTCTCCTTAGAAAGGGATGATCTATTCACTGGCTCTTTATTCCGCCATATTTGTCAGTTTCACTTTTAATAGATCCTTCTTCAGTTGCCATTTCTTCCTTGGAAGACTCTGTTGTTGTTCTTGTTACTTCTACAAAGATCTTACAAAGCTTTCTTATGTTGCTATCTGTTTCTTGATAATATGATATGTTGAGCATCCAGTACTTTCCATATGATGCTGTCAGTGAAACATTTAAACAAGCTGTCACTCTCTTCTTCCTGCTGGCAATGAATTGAAAAGTTTAAGCAAACTATGGAAAAAATAAAAAGGGTTCTTTCCCCTTACGCATAATGGAGAAAAATGGGCAGAGATGTCTCAAAAATTGACCTTAACTACAATAAACTGCTCACACCGTGACTAGCAATCCATCAATTTGCTCCATTTTTGTCAGAATGCCACAGTGGAAAGCTATAATAATTCTCAAACTGTTGTTAACCAGAACAATCACATTATTGGTCTACTGAGGTGACCTAAAAAGAATGGCAAGATAGGTTTAAACAACTTGCTTTTAGGTTGCAATCTTACCACAATTATTTGGTAATAGGTTTCACTGACTCAGTAGGACTTATTTCTGAATCAAACTGCACAGGCAGAGCCTCAGGGAACTTTTATACATGGATCTGGGAATTTATTTAATTGTTCTCTTTCTTCTGCATGATAGAGGTGTCCCAATTTGGTGTCAGGTGATTTGACTATCCAACTTCCCTAGTGCTACTAGTTATAAAGGAAGGAAAAGGAGAAATATGTTTTACTACATTAATTAATGTATTGGCCAAGCATTAGAGGCTCAGCAAAAATTTAAAATTAGTTAAAAAAAGTTGCAAAGGCCTTTTATCAGTGGAACCCTTCCCCTTTATTTTGTTATTGTGTGTCTGTCTGTCTATCTGTCTGTCTGTCTATCTATCTATTTATCTATCCAAATTTCTTTTTTTGTTGATAAAAAGTTAAAGAGTTAAATGGGAGACTAGAATAGCTATTTCAAGGTTTCTAGTCTCCCATTTAACTCTTTAACTCTTTGTCAACAAAAAAAGAAATTTGGATTTGTAATGTATCGCAGTAGCGATCTGAGCCTGCTTAACACCCCTAGTTTGGGGGGCTGCAAGGCAAAAGTGATTATACATAGAACTGCAGTATAGCAGTCAAAATACCAAGGTGCATCAATCTGGAAAAAACTTTTTGTGTATGTATGTATGTAGGTAGGTTTGAAAGCCTACTCATGACTGGCAGTTTGTGAGCTCTGCTCATATATCACCGGTCCACCCACCCCAGTATATATATATATTATACATACACACATATATATATATTATACATACACACACACACACACACACACACACACATATATTATACATACACACACATATATATATTATACATACACACATATATATATATTATACATACACACATATATATTATATATACACACATATATATTATACATACATACATATAAGCATAAGAAGGACTCCCAGCAATCTTGCATCACGCTCTGATGATGTCGGTAGTGTTGACCGACGAAAGGCTCAGCTTTTAATTAAACAGTTTTGTTTTTAGTATTATCCTGGTGTTCGGATTATTTTATGGTATACATACATATATACATACACACATATATACACACACACATATACATATATGTATGTATATGTATATAAATATATGTATATATAATCTCCACGCTCATATATACATATACAAATAGATATACATATGGCATGGTGGCCTAGTGGTGAAGACACTCACCTTTCACCAGGTTGAGAGTTCAATCCTAGGTAGCAGCAGATGTTTCTCTCCTAAGGCCCAAAGGAAAAAAAAAATATTCTATGACAGGAGTATCAAACTGCCGGCTCGTGGGCCGGATGCGTCACGAGGAAACCGCACCCACCTCATTGCTGGCAATGGGGAAAAAGTTCTAATATGTTGCGCGACATCACGTGATGTCGTGAGTTTCACATGTCTGTTCTATGAACTTTGCATAGGCATCAGGAAGGACATCGGTCAATAACCGCTCAACTCCATCCAGTCACTCCAACTCAATCTCAAATTAAGGAATTACAGGGTCATAAACAGGAATGTATGTTTGTGTGTGTATGGTATAGATATTGTATAGAACTAATCTAGACTACATAATGAAATTTCATTTTAATATCTGCTGATTAGTGTAAATTCAAAGTGACAATAAAGTTATTATTCTATCTATAAAATATCTTTCTATTCTTGACAGCTAATTTTTTGTATTTAGGGAAGATTTTAATATACTTAAGAATAGATTGTACCATAATATATGTAAAATAAGCAGAGTAATAAGAGTATCTCAGTAATAGTTTGAGTGACATTTTAAAAATTCTCTTGAGTGTTTAGGCTTGCTAGAAAGAAATATGCTTTATAAAGATCACAGTCACTCCCTGTGGAGACCTATAACCTTTCTTGAAGCTACTCACCAGCAACCAATAGTTTTGTTCTCTCTGCAAGAGAGACAATCACAATTAGCTTAAATATATGCTAGCACAGCCTCAGGGAAATATGATAAAGGGCCCTTTAAAAGATTATTCAAGTGTAGTTCAAATAGGGAAGATATCAAAGCACAGTTAGCTGTATGTATAAAGTCAAATGCAGAAAATTATTAATCTAGGTTAGTCCCATATGTTTCATTCTAACATTGTTTCTTTCTTCTCCCCTCCTTTAGGAACACCACTTAAAGCATATGTGCATTTACCAATAGTTTAATTTGCACCACTGTTATGAAGGGGATTTTCAAGAGGGGAAAAAATAGTACATGAACACTAATATTTGATAAAATTATTCAGCATCAGAATAAGTGAGGCAGTTGTGATGTTTTTAAATGTAGAGTACTTCCTGGGATATAGAAAAAAGAAAGGCAGAACTATCAACAAACCAGGAATTCTAATATGCTAACACTGAAACAGTGTTAAAATTCTGGTTACTTCAGAGGACTGTCCAGAAATATAAAGGACAAGAAGTGTAAATGAACTGATCCACAATTACAATTAGTCTCTGATAAATAATTGTCTTGCCCGTATGTTGGATCAAAAATCTTCTGGTTTCTACTGATCAGGTAACTGCCAATTCTGGTCCAGTACATCTCATAAGCATTCAGAATGTGTGCAAAGGCTGGGTGGAATGCTTTGCACAGCCTATCAAGAATGAAGTCCTGGACTTAGAACTATTCAGTGACCGTTCCAAGTTACAATGGTACAGAAAATAATGATTATGACCGTTTTTCACACTTACGACCGTTGCAGCATCCCCATGGTTACATGATCAACATTCGGACGCTTAGCAACTGGCCTGTATTTATGACAGTTGCAGTGTCCTGGAGTCACACGATCACAGTTTGCGACCTTCTGACAAGCAAAGTCAATGGGAAAGGTAGATTCCCTTAATAACTGTGTTACTAATTTAACAACTGCAGTGATTCACATAACAATTGTGGCAAGAAAAGTCATAAAATAGGGCAACCCCCCCCTTTTTTTTTGTCTTGCCTACCAATAGAAATTTTGGGTTCAGTTGTGGTCATAAGATGAGGACTACCTGTATTATAACCTGTTTCAAAATGAAGAAAGTGAAAATGTGCTGTTTAGTCTCACACAGGATAGCCGTTATTTGAATTTGATGGGAAATTGTTTCTCTGTCCCTCCTTCTCCTTTATAAGGCAAATGTAAACTAGCCGGGCACCCAACTGTAAGCAATTTGTCAGGTTTCTGCAGTTACTAACCTACAATCTCCTCTTGTATGAGTTCAAGAAACCTGTTTGTTCATCTTTTCTTTCAGGTCACAAGGTGAAGGGGTTCCCCTCCAATTTAAGTTCACAGCGACCCTGTGAGGCAGATTTAAGCAGAGGCGGAAATTGAGCCAATGCAATTTTAATGGGAACTGAATCTCCGTGGTCTCTTTTCATCATATCCCGTTGGTTTTCAAATAACCAAAGCTAATAAAAGAATAGTTTTCAAAAACCCATCGCAACTTTAATTCAAAATGTAACAACTCGGGTCTTTAATTTAGCTTCTGCCACTGCAGCTCAAACACGCGTTTTGTACCAACGCAATAGCATTTACCAGCAACGGCTCCTGCTTGCTTACTGTGTTACGCGCACATGATAGATCAGAAGACCCTCCGGTAACAAAATGGACTGTTCCATTTCAGAAGGTAGATAAGGGTCCGCTTTCTCGATTGCTTCTCTAAATAACTTTTTTTATTTGCAAGTAGGAAAAGCAGCAGAGCCGGGAGCGGAGGGAGGGAGAGAGTTTGAATCGAAGCCCTGTGCTTCTTTTCGTGCTGATTTTCCAAATGGAGTTTTTAATATCCTGGAGAAGTAAATAAAGTTACAATTTCGCTTCATTTTGAAGTGGTACGGCCCACTTTATGACTTTAGAAACTTTTTTTGTCACGTCACTGAATTGTATGTTTAAACCTGGCATTTTTGAACCAGGCAAAACGAGCTTTTCAAGCTTGGTGTTGGTTTTTTCCTTATATATTCGTACACGCCCATCCTCTTTATTTTTGCTCTAAGAAGGGATACTTCTACCTCTAAGTTGCGGTGTTTACGCAGGGGGTGTTGAGAGTTTAGTTCACACGTTTCGCATGCAACGTCTCCTTTCTCTGACTTAATTTCTCGAGATTTCACTCCCAACCCGTATCTGCAGTCAAGTGTAAGTACCAAGAACTATAATTCATGCTTTTTAAATTTATTTAGGCCAGAAACTCAAAGCTAGTATATTCTTCCATTTTTCGTACAAAAATATGAGATGTGCTACTTGAGAGTGGCTGGATTACTATTATACACTAAAGTATTACATGTTCGATACGTATAGTTTATGGCCCTTACATGTCATGGGATGCCATTGACTTAGTTTCCACATTGTGCACAATCATGCATTTTGTCATGTTTATTAGGCACAGCACAGTGGCTGGATTGATTGCACACCAAACTAAAACCGAGCGAAGTTATTTATTGCATAATTCATTTTGTGAAATTACCTAATGTAGGAAACTATGAATGTGTATTTGTGTGAATGAGGGATATTTTTAAATATGTCCAAGGGAAGTCATGTATGCATGTATCTGAGTGTGTAAAAATGAATGGGCACTTGAGTGAGGGGGGGGACTTAACTCTGTGTGTATGAAATGAGATTAGTTGTCTACTTGTGTGAGAGGTTTGTTTGTGAGGGTATATGTGCATTTAATATGAGGCCAACTTCCAAAATCCAAATGTAGTAGCTACCAGGTGCAGCCCTCTTCTGAAAAGCTTACTTATTCAGATTCTAGACAGAGAGGATCATGTTATTGCTTTTTTTTAAAGAGAGAGAAATGGAAATTATAAATTCTTGCCAATCTACTTCAGATCATTCATATCCCAATTTAATGGCATAAACCTTCATTAAATTGGTATCCTTCTTTTGAAATCTTTGTTTATATTACACCCTTTACCAAAATTCAGAAAAAGTGAAAGAATTAAGTTTAATATCAACAGGATTGTTTGAGTTGAATTTTATGGCTGGGGATGCTTGTTGGTGAGAATTGTGAGGTTGCTAATCATTGCTTTCTTTTTTTACTTTACGGTTACTTTATTTATTCATTTTTGACTATGAAGCTTCTACCTACCACACTACCAATTCCTAACACTGCCATTTCCTATAATTTGGGGTTATAGTGAGCAAAACTGGAAGTGGTTCTTCATATTCTGAATTCTCATGGATACTTTTATTTTCTCATGGGGATCTTCCTCGTGTCCTGATTAATGACCTTTCCTCCCAGCCTTGATTTGACACAAAAGTATATTGACATAAACTGTGCCATTAAACTCCCTTTGCCATGCCTTAACTGTGAGACCAAGCAGTTTTGCTCTCTGAAAAAGATTTCTGTGGTAGTTTTGTGACAAAAAATGGTGGAATCCCTGCTTTTCTTCCCCATCCCACCTTGTGTCATCTCTAGACAGGAACGCCAAACACCAAGTGCACTCCTGACTATGTGAGGGGGTGAGAGATTCAAGCTTTACTTTTTATTATATATTTAGCCTTAGTTTGTACTGTTTTATGCATGCTTCTACATGGTGAGACTGTTGATCTTCCAGGAAAATTGGAAGATCAATAAACCTATATCAAACAACCCGCAGCTTCAAAGTCTACCTGATTTGAAATGCAAACCAAAAAAAAGATCGAACCAGGATTTTTGTCCCTCTGGATCTTTCTTTCCTGAAGCTAGTTTCCTCCCCAAAATGTTTTGGGTCAAGCAAAAATCTGCTTCTCTCTTCTATCCCCAATATCACATACGTGTGCACGTATGTCCACCTATGTATTTTCCCTATTGTACAGCCCCCTTAGCACTCAAGCACATAGAATGTAACATCTGTTGTAAATCCCAAAAATGCTTTTTCAGGAGGCAACTGGACTCTCTTGTTTTTTTTTTTTTTGGTTTTTTTTGTTTTTGAAGACGTTTCGCTTCTCATCCAAGAAGTTTCTTCAGCTCTGACTGGATGGTGGGGAATTTCTATATAGATATGTCAGAAGATCACACAAGGTGATCACATGATCCAGGACATTGGAACCATCATAAATACAGGCCAGTTGCCAAGCTTCTGAATTTCATTATGTGAGCAAGGGGATGCTGCAATAGTTGTAAGTGTGAAAACGGTCATAAATCACTTTTTTCAGTGTTGTTGCAACTTTAAACAATCATTAAACAAGCAATTATAAGTCGAGGACTACCTGTATTTACAACAGATGTCTATGGAGATTCTCAGTCATCCAGATCATAGTTATCCCAAAGATGCTTTTTCAGGAGGCAATTGGACTTTCTTGTTTTTCTTTGAATGGAATGGGGAATGGAAGAATTTAATATTCCTTGCTGACAGAATGCAAATGACCAGCTATCTGTAAAGAATATAAATCCTTCCATTCCCCACCATCCAGTCAGAGCTGAAGAAGCTTCTTGGATGAGAAGTGAAGTGTCTTCAAAAAATAAACAGGAAAGTCCAGTTGCCTCGTGAAAAAGCATCTTTGGGATAATTGGCCTGGGTCATGTAATCACCTTTTATGATCTTCTGACATAGAAATTTGCTGTGTAATAATCTTGTAAATAAAAATAAGGAAAAAGCAGCCCACACATTGATACCAGTTGTCTGAAGCCAATCACTTGTCCCCATTGAGTATTAATTGCAAACCTAATTGCATCTGAGTATATTGATTTACTACAATTATTGGAAATTGGAGTTATTCTCTGCCCTTGTACCTCTCCAGTTGTTTGCCTAGAGGAACATAATTTAGTTGATCCAACAAATTGAAATGGGATAGTTATGTGCATTGAATATGCCACTTTTAATTCTATATTTTAATAATAGGTCAGTTAGGAAGCAGAAATTATTCTCAGTAACATATCTGTTTCTCAATCCGGTGGGCCTTAGCCTGTTATTCCGATGCAGGCACCATATTGCAAAAAATATTTACTTGCACAACTGACTGCGGGCTGATTAGTTAACATTGCCAGTACCTGAACAAATGAGGAATTTTATTCTGTGCACTAAGTTATTAGTTTTAATAAAATAGTGGGATCTAATAATATATGGACAGCATAGTACAATGATGGCGAATCTTTTAGAGACCGAGTGCCCAAAACCGCCCCCAGCCTGCCCACGCTCTGCCCGCCCACCCCTGCCCTGCTCCATCCTCGCTCTGCCCGCTCTCAGGGCCATCCATGGCCTGCCGCAGATCGCCCAGGCAGCCTTGCAGCGCCATGGTGGCCACGCCCTCCAGCCATGCCCACAGCATCATCTGCCCAGCTGCCATGTGTTTGGCTGCGCTGCTCTGCCCGGGCCACACCCAGGGGTGACTCTCCTCTGGGGGGGCTGCTGATGAGGGGGCTGTGGGGAGAGGTGGGGCTGGGGCGACCTCTTGTTTGCCTACAGAGAGCGCTCCGAGGGCCGCCTCTGGCACTTGTGCCATAGGTTCGCCACCACTGGCATAGTATATAGCGACATATAAGAAATAACCTACAGTACTTGGTTTTCGTTGCTAAGATGGGCAGAATTACAGGTAGTTCGTGAGTATTTCCCTCATTTTCACCTTGTTCTTTATTACAGGTTCTTCTTCCCTCCTTATCTCAATTATTAATGCTGGAATGCCTAAGACGTTTCTCCTGGCTGTCTTGCAGCCCAACAAAGCTTTTATGTTCCACGGTCCAGTATCTGAATCTCGTTACCCAACATAGTCCATCTTCTTAGAGTTTCCACATTTTCACAAATGCTCCAGGATTTTCCTCCTAGTCTTAGGGCTAGAATTTCTGGACTTGACAGGTCCCACTCCACTCAGTTCCATTCCACTTCATCCCATCCCATCTTGCTCTCTTTCTCTCTCTCTCTCTCTCTCTCCCTCCCCATCCATCTATCCATCCATCCAATCTTGAAACCACCATCTCTCTCAAAGTGGGAGGTTAGCCAGATGAGGTCCTCTTCAGTAGCATGTCCTACACATCTGAGATAATCCTCCCTCTCCTGCTCTGGCTCTTTTTATATTTTTTACAAGCGTATTCTATTATTTCCCCCTTTTCTGCCTGCCTGCTTGCTCTTGTGCTGAGTCACTTGGCTTCAAACAAACAAACAAACAAACAAATATCCATGAGCTTGGCAGAGATCCAACCACTTTCTTCCTGCCAGGCACATCATCCTATCACAAAGGTTATTGAAATATATAGCTAGGAAATGTTAGTCCACTCCAGATTAGCATCTTACTTCCGAGCAACTATGCATGAGAAACACCCTTCTTTTTTAAATATTAGAAAGGCCAGCTCTGTGTTTAAAGAGATAGTGGCTTTCATGCATATGCAGTTCTCACCTGTCTGGGCTCTAGGTATTTATTGTAGAACCCATCAAACCTTTTTTTTAAATATATAGGGTTTTCAAGTGCGATGTAGGTCACCATTTATTAACCATATGAGAAATGTCGTATCATTCCCACTTAATTTTTTCCTATTTCTAAAAAACCATTTCTGTACAGAATGACAGATACTTTGAGGGGATTCTCCCCCCCCCCTTAAAGGTAGCTTAGAGACATTTAAACATAAATGCCCTTCCCTTCTCTCCCACACATACTTCTAGAACACATGAAATATTTTGTTTCTTGGCTTGTTTAATTTAGACTGCATCTGTTGTGTTAAAAATGGAGTAATGTTGTAAAAGTGTGGAATATGGAAGGCAAAAGCAAGTAGATGCCAAAAATTAGTATGGCATTAAAAAAACAGTGCATAGGGAAGAGATACACTTGAATGGGGTCAAACATTAGCTGGGTGAAAACATTAGATTCTCCTCCCCAACTGCAAAAATGAGAAAAAAGCAATTGTTATCTTAAAGATAGACTTCTGTGGTGCTTTGTAAATAGAAGATGACCAACAAATATTCTAGATTCCAGAACCTTTGGAAATGTAGAGGACAGAAGGAAGGGCCTTGAGGGATAAAAGGGCCCTTTTCAAGCCAGGACCATGGTGCCCTCCCCCAGATAAGATCCATCTCTCACCCTCTTGGGTTTCTGAAAGGGCCTGAAGACCTGACTCTGCCAATTGGCCTGGGGCTTCAATGGGCCATGCTATTCTGGAGGGGGTTAATAGATTAAGACAGGGGTCTCCAAACTTGGCAACATTAAGACTTGTGGACTTCAACTCC